CTACCCCGTTTTGTTGAGGTGTATAAGGGCATGAGAATTGATGGTGGATTCCACTTTCTGCTAAGAAATTCTTAAGTGCAAAGGACGTGAACTCCCCTCCTCCATCACTTTGAAATACTTTGATTTTCCTGTCAAATTGATTCTCAACTAACATTTTGAACTTTTTAAAGCAAGAGAAAAAATCCGACTTTCGTTTGAGAGGGTATAACCAAGTAAATCTTGAGAAATCATCAACAAAACAAGCATAATATTTAAAGTTTTGGCAAGAAATAATAGGAGCTGGGCCCYATAAGTCACAATAAATCTTATCCAAAGGAAATAAACTAAAATCATTTCTAGAATTAAAAGGTAATCTGCAGCTTTTTCCCATTTGACAACTCTCACAAATCCTCTCTGATTTCTTCCAACAGCCCACATTTATGAGACTTYGTTCACACAAAATTTTGAGGGATTTGTCATTGACATGCCCCATTCTTTTATGCCATAGAGAAACATCAGAACTGTTCTTTGTTATTGCTGCTACAAAGACTTCCAGCTGCTGTTTTTGTTCATCCAATGCGTACAGTCCCCCCTTCTTACTTCCTTCAGCAAGTATCTGACCCTRCTTGTTMTTKATAAAAAATTTATCAGCATGGAAAGTAATAATGCAGTCATTATCTCTTGTTAGCTTGCTAATGGAGAGTAAATTTTTCTTCATTTCAGGAACAATCAGAACATTTTTAAGTTTTAGATCTTTAAACTCATTAGTTATTGTTCCTTGTCCTATATGAGATATATCAAGTTGATTGCCATTTCCTACAAAAATCTTCTCATGTCCTTTATAAGGTTGATAGTTGTGGATCTTACTTGGGTCATTTAAGATGTGTGATGTTGCCCCGGAGTCAGCATACAGCAGTGGATCGGCTCCTTCATTGAGATTCAATGCARCTAGAGCTTTTGGAACATCCTCTGATTGGAATGAGTGGTCAAATCTATTCCAACATTCCAGTGCTGTATGGTTTCCTTTGCCACAAATTTGACACATTATTTTCTCAATTTTATGATGTGGGGAGTTAAACAAACCTGAGTCAGCATTTGCTCTTTGAGGAGGTGTGTTTTTCTGTGGGCTTGTGTAGTTGATAGACTGAGAAAGAGCTTGTTTCCCTTGTGGAAACCCTCTTCATCTAGAAGAGAAGGTTCTTCCTCTACCTCTGCTCCTTCCCCTGTGAGCATAGAATGCTTGGTTGTGGTYTGGTTGTGATGTGTTTTCTTGTTCCATATCAGCATTGATTATTACCTCATGTGCCTTGAGAGCTAGAATGAATTCGTTGTAGGTTGGGTATGGTGCTTTGGATAGCATTGCTGTCTTGAATCCTTGGTATTTTGTCCCCAAACCTCTAGCTACATGGAATACTTTTGTGAGGTCATCCACTGGTTTCTTCATAGCTGCAAGTTGATCACATAGAGATTTAATTTTCTTTAAGTATTCATCSAACGAGAKACTTCCCTTTYTCAGACTTAGAATGGCTTCATTCAAGTGGATTTCGTTCTCCTTCGTCATAGTGAGGAGTTGTTCTTCTAGTGATTTCCACATTTGATATGCTGATTCTATTCCTTCAATTGTTGCCAACACTTCCTCGGTTATGATGCCTAGAAGCCATGATGTTAAAAGGCCATCATTATTGAGCCAAGTGTCGTATTGAGGATTTGGAGTAGTTTCTCCATCTTTGTCTGTCAAGAGCTTCTCTGGTTCACTACTTCCTCTAAGATGATGTTCAATCCCAAGACTTCTCACCAAAGGTATAACTTGTGRCTTCCACAATAGATAATTGGAGGCACTCAATTTGATGGAGATTAAACTTGAGCATTGGTGGAAGGATTGAATCGAAAGTGTTGTTTCTGATTTAGCCATAGTGAATTGTTGCGGATCGATCAGTGGTACACTCCTTCGAGCAAGCTCTGATACCATAAAAAAATAGATCAAAACTAGATCAGAATTTCTTGAAGCCTTACAATCTGTTTATCACAAACGAGATGGCAAAAGAAAATGTTCTATTATTCACTGGCTTCAACAATGAAAATAAAGAGAAAAATATATTTCCCAAAAATTACTCCTGCTCGAAGAAGAAAACCTATGTAAATATACAGTATGATAGTATACATTCTTGAGCTAATTAAGGTAAACTTGCAACGGTGAAGAAGAGTAAATATAATACAGCAGAATTGTGATCCTTTCCACATGAGGTTTAAATAAAATATCGGGAGAAATCACAGATTTTCTATGCAAGGAAGTTTGATTTAATTGTTTATTCTGCTGGTTCTGTGAGGTGGCTGATGATTGAGCATTTGTTGGAGCCCGTGTAGAGAATGTAGCTACTGATGTGGCTTTTGTACGAAGATCTCTCGAATCTAACATTTTTTTGTGTGGTGGACTGGTGATTTTTTTTTTTTTTTGGTTTTTGGAATAGTTTTTATTTCTCTCTTTTGTTTTTTGAAATTAGCTTTCTTAGTGGAGAATTGAAGATTGTTAAGAGTGCCTACTAGGTGTTATTTATTGTTATAACTAAAATCCGTTTAGTGTTATTCTGTTGTATTTTTTGATTTATTATCTTTCAACTTACCTATAAATAGGTAATTGTTGTTTTACTGTTATCACTAGAAAATTAGCGTAGAGTTATATAATTGTTGTTTTGATCATGTTAATAAAATACAGATGAAGCTTCAGTGATCAGTTTCTCTAATTTGTTTGTTTCTTAATTTTTTGTTGAGAGATTTAAAATGGTATCAGAGCTATTTTAGGTCTAACGACCGATTGTGAATTTTTTTTTCTCATCTACTCCAGAATCTTCTGCTTCCGAAGTGCTTCATTCTTCCATTTAATTCCAAAGCTCTTAATCCAGGGAACAAGACTACCACCGTTAAGCTTGATGAGGAGAATTTTCTTCCGTGGAAATTCCAAGTTCTCACGATACTTCGAGGCTATGATTTGGAGCAGTATATTGATGATTCTGCTCCTGTTCCTTCCCAATTTCTTACTTCTACGACTGATACAAGCTCTAATTTTGTTCCAAATTCGATGTATTCATTTTGAATTCGTCAAGATAGCTTGATTGTAGCATGTTTGTTCGGATCAATGTCCAATTCTCTATTATCGGAGATGCTTGATTGTAAATCTGTTTCTGAGGTTTGGCGCACTCTAAATGCTCGATTTTCCTCGCGTAATATGGCCAGATTGATGGATCTGAAATCCAAACTTGAAACAACAAAGAAAGGTGGTTTAAAGCTTGAACACTATTTTCAGAAGATCAAAAACCTTGTTGATTCTCTAACTGTAGCAGGCCGAAAATTTCTCATAATGATCATATTCTTCATATTTTACAAGGATTAGGTCCTGAATACGACTAAAGATGATTCTCCATCTTTACAGTCGAATTGACCACCATTCCTCTATTAATTCTGATGGTTCTTTGCCATCGGTGAATCTTACCACCCAGTCCTCAGCGAATCAATCGTCTGTGCCAGCTTCGTCTGCAAGTTCTAATGATGTGAATAAGCATGGGAGAAATCAAGGGCACAAGTTTCATAATCGGCGATTTTGGAATAATAATCATGGCCGCATTCAATGTCAGCTATGTGGTCGCTTTGGACATACTGGTTTTGACAGAAGCTTTCAAGGTTCAAATGCTAATTCGTTTCATCCAAATTCTTCTCAGTTTTCTCAGGCAGCTGGTTTTGGTTTTTCTTCTGGTTTTAATGCTCTCACACTACAACATGATTTGAATAAGGAGAACCAGTGGTTTCCTGACTCAGGTACTTCCAACCATGTGATTAGTGATCTTGCTAATTTAGGCATCAGTACTGAATATCTTGGGGATAACAAAGTTCTTATCGGCAATGGTGCAGGTTTGGATGTTCTTAACATTGATTCTTCTATTCTTAACTCTTCTTCCTCTCCCAATTCCGTTTTTCTACTTAACAATCTCCTTCATGTTCCCCGTATTACAAAAAATATTATCAGTGTCAGTCAGTTTGCCAAAGACATTTTGAATTTCACCCGTTTACTTGTTTTGTGAAGGATCTCAATGACAAAATACTTCTCCAAGGCACACTTAAAGATGGACTAAACAGCTTTGTTATGCATCCTTCTGACTTCCATTTAGATAGTTATGGTATGTCCACTGTTTCCAAAATTGAAGAACACACTTGTGCTGCTACGTCTACTGTTTCTTCTCTTTTCTTTTTAGTTTTAGAATTGTGGCATAATAGGTTAGGCCATTTGGCTATTCCTATTGTAAATCATGTTCTTGACTCATGTAAAATTTCATATCCCCGTAATAAATCTCATGCTTTATGATGTCATGCTTGTGCTATTGGTAAGAATCACAATTTACCTTTCTCGAACTCTTCCAATGTCTATACTGCTCCTCTTCAATTAATTGTTGCAGATGTGTGGGGCCCTGCTTTCAAAGCTTCTAGAAATGGTTTTCGTCATTATATTACTTTCACTGATGTTTATTCTCGTTATACATAGATATATTTCTTAACTTTCAAATCTGAGGCCGTTAAAGCATTTCAGTTGTTTAAATTCATGTTGAGAAGCTTTTTAGTCGATCTGTACTTCGTTTGCAAACCGATGGCGGGGTGAATTTCATCCATTCATTCCCTTCCTTAAATCCAACGGTATTGAACATAGATTGACATGTCCCTATGCTTCCCAACAGAATGGTATAGTGGAACGTAACGAAATGTTGTTGATATGGGCCTCACCCTTCTGTCTCATGCGTATTTATCTTTGGAGTTTTGAGATGATGCGTTTTCTACAGCTACGTATCTCATTAATCGTCTCCCTAGTATAGTTCATCTTAATATGTCCCATTTGGAGAAGTTATTTGGTCACACCTCCAATTTTTCTTTTCTAAAAATTTTTGGTGGCTTGTGTTACCCTTCATTGCGATCCTATAATCGTCATGAAATCGAACCTCGATCTACTTCTTGCTTGTTTCTAGACTATAGTTCGGTTTACAAGGTTATAAGTGTCTTTCTGCTTCCGATCGTACATACATTTCCCGCCATGTTCTTTAATATGAAACCAAATTTCCAACCTCTAATTTTCTTCTTTCCTCAAGTACCACTCCTTTGTCCTTTCTTTGGTTGGAAATCAATTACCCATTCTCTCTCCTATACCTTTTTCCCGTTTATCCACAAATTCTGTTAATAGTACTATTCCTATTGACTTGTCCTTTCATGGTCAGCCTTCAATTAATGCTCATGTACCTTGTCCAACACCCCATTTGTCCTCTTCTCCTTCTTTAGTGGCTCATTCTTCAAGTCATCAATTTTCTCCTTCAACTTCTCCTACTTCACGTGATGTTATCTAAACAGCTGCTGTCTCTTCTCCTCTCAATAATTCAGTTAGTCAATCAAATTCTTCTCCTTATACCTCTCTTATTGGTCCTGTTCCTACCTCTTCTAGTCCCCTGCCTGCACCATATGTTGATTCTTCTTCACGGGCTATCTCCTCACCTGCTGATCCGCTTGCTCCAATTTCTTCACTTGCTGTTGTTAATCGACATCCCATGCTGGCCCGAAGCAAACTTGGTATTTTCAAGCCTAAGGTCTTCTTAACTGAGTATAGTAATGTTGAACCACCATCCGTTAAAAGAAGTATTACGTTGTGGTCATTGGGTTCGAGCTATGCATGAGGAGTATGCTGCTTTGCTAGCTAATGACACATGGTCTTTAGTTGCTCCTCCTTCTGACAAGAAGATTATAAGGAGTATGCTGCTTTGCTAGCTAATGACACATGGTCTTTAGTTGCTCCTCCTTCTGACAAGAAGATTATAGGTTGCAAGTGGGTGTTTAAAAGTAAAAGAAATTCTAACAGACTTGTTTCTCAGGGATTTCATCAGGGGACTGATTTAGACTATATTGAGACATTTAGCCCGGTGTTTAAACCTACTACGATTTGGGTTTTGTTTACTATTACTCTTTTTCATGGCTGGTCCTTACGTCAAGTTGATATTAATAATGCATTTTTGCATGGTGTTCTTAATGAAGAGGTCTATGTGGTGCAGCCCCTAGGGATGATTGCTTCTTCTCCGACTACCTTTGTTTGTCGATTAAAGAAGGCTTTATATGGTTTGAAACAGGCTTCTTGTACTTGGTTCGATCGTCTCAGCTATTTTCTTCATTTTCTTAGTTTTGTAAGTTCTAAGGCTGATTCTTCTTTACTTGTTTGTCATAAAAATGGTCATTTCGGCTACGTCTTGGTTTATGTAGATGACATCGTCATACTGGGAGTTCTCCTACCGCTATTGACCATTTAATTAAGTCTCTGCATCACAAGTTTTCGTTGAAAGATCTGGACAATCTTAGTTATTTTTTGGGAGTTGAGGTGTCTTATCCTTCGTCTGGTGGTTTGTTTCTATCTCAACAGAAATACATTTTCGATTTGTTACATAAGGCTCAGATGAGCCCAAGCTAATGACACATCTTCTCCTATGATTGGTGGTGTCATTTTGTCTGCTTTCCATGGTGAAACTTTTTCTGATGTTTGCTTGTATGGGAGTACAGTGGGTGCTTTACAATATGCCACTCTTACCAGACCGAAAATTGCCTATAGTTTTAACGAGGTCTGTCAATTCATGCATTCTCTGTGCCTTGTTCATTGGCAGGCTATGAAGTGTATTTTACGTATTTAGGAGGTACACTTGATCATTGGTTATTTTTTAAGCAGCCACAAAATTTGATTCTTTAAGGTTTTGCCGATGGGGATTGGGCGTCTGATCCTGATGATTGGAAGTCTATCTCTGGGTATTGTGTTTATTTTGGTGGTAATCTGATTCAGTGGGCCTCAAAGAAGCAAAACATTATTTCTCGTTCCAGTACAGAGGCGGAATATCATAGTTTGGCTCATGTTTCTRTGGAGTTAATTTGGTTACATTCCTTATTTTGTGATTTACAGATTCATTGTCACAACCACCTATACTTTGGTGTGATAATCTTAGTGTTTATCTCGATGAAATGAGCGGAATGGCTATCCCAATTCCAAAAATATTCACGACTTTCAGTATCTTATCGATGGCTTCCCTTGCATTGCCGGGTATGAGCGGTTTTGTTGCAGAATTAATAGTCTTTTTTGGAATAATTACCAGCCAAAAATATCTTTTAATGACAAAAATACTAATTACTTTGGTAATGGCAATTGGAATGATATTAACTCCCATTTATTTATTATCTATGTTACGCCAGATGTTCTATGGATACAAGCTTTTTAATGCTCAAAATTCTTATTTTTTTGATTCGGGACCGCGAGAGTTGTTTGTTGCGATCTCTATCCTTRTACCTGTCATAGGTATTGGTATTTATCCAGATTTTGTTTTCTCACTATCAGTTGACAAGGTCGAAGCTATTTTATCTAATTATTTTGCTAGATAGTTTTCATAAAAAAAAAATGAAACTGCTGTTCATTTAAGTGCCAATCCGGTGTTGCACTATCGCACTAAGCATGTGGAACTTGACATTTATTTCGTTCGAGATCTTGTCCTACCGAAGCAACTGCAAGTTCGTCATCTTCCATCTCATACTCACATCGTAGATGTGTTTACTAAGCCTCTTTCTTCCTCCAAGTTTCTTCCTTTGCGTTCCAAGCTAACTTGACATTTATTTCGTTCGAGATCTTGTCCTACAGAAGCAGCTGCAAGTTCGTCATCTTCCATCTCATGCTCACATTGCAGATGTGTTTACTAAGCCTCTTTCTCCCTCCAAGTTTCTTCCTTTGCGTTCCAAGCTCAATGTGTGTTCTTCATCACACCTTGGCTTGAGAGGGGTGTTAGAGTGCCCACTAGGTGTTATTTACTGTTATAATTAAAATCCATTTAGTGTGATATTCTGTTGTATTTTTTTATTTATTATCGTTCAACTTACCTATAAATAGGTAATTGTTGTTTTACTGTTATCACTAGAAAATTAGCGTAGAGTTATATAAATGTTGTTTTGATCATATTAATAAAATACAGATGAAGTTCAGTGATCAGTTTCTCTAATTTCTCTGTTACTTAATTTTCACTACAGCAAATCTTGGTTTTAATGTTGGACAAAAAAAA